CAGGCTCTGCCCGATAAACAATAATTTATTAGAACAGTCGCTGTTCGCTAAATTAAAATCAAATTCTCCTGTTTACAGCTATGTAAACAATTGTCTCTAACATACGCTCATTGGGGCCAGGCTCTGCCCGATAAACAATAATTTATTAGAACAGTCGCTGTTCGCTAAATTAAAATCAAATTCTCCTGTTTACAACTATGTAAACAATTGTCTCTAACACACGCTCATTGGGGCCAGGCTCTGCCCGATAAACAATAATTTATTAGAACAGTCGCTGTTCGCTAAATTAAAATCAAATTCTCCTGTTTACAACTATGTAAACAATTGTCTCTAACACACGCTCATTGGGGCCAGGCTCTGCCCGATAAACAATAATTTATTAAAACAGTCGCTGTTCGCTAAATTAAAATCAAATTCTCGTGTTTACAGTTATGTAAACAATTGTCTCTAACACACGTTCATTGGGGCCAGGCTCTGTCCGATAAACAATAATTTATTAAAACAGTCGCTGTTCGCTAAATTAAAATCAAATTCTCCTGTTTACAGTTATGTAAACAATTGTCCCTAACACACGCTCATTGGGGCCAGGCTCTGCCCGACAAACAAACATTTATTAGAACAGTTGCTGTTCGCTAAATTAAAATCAAATTCTCCTGTTTATAGTTATGTAAACAATTGTCTCTAACACGCCCACTGGTTTCTGATTTAGTTAGTTAGGATTTGTTTCAGAAAGATTCACAAGAGCTATCATCGGCAGATAGTAATTCCTAATTTTGAACTTACGGTCTAAAGGAAAGGCGTCTAGTCAACAGCACCCTTCGCCAACTCTTAGATTACTCTTTATCTGACCGGAAAGTGAGATTTGACCACCACTCTTATAACGCACCCTCATCACCAAAATACGTTCTTGTGAGAATATGATAGGAACCACGAATTCTCAGAGTCACAGTCCGTGAATTCAAACCACTTACATACGTCTGGCAGACATTTCAATTTGAAACTGAGATATTCGAAACCCGTTTGCGTAGCATTCATAAAACGTTAACTAAAAGGTAAAATGTGAATTCACATTCACGTGAAGCTAACGTTTTATTTCGATATTTAAATGTGGACAACTTCTGATCCAGGGTTGTTTTAATAACTACACATTCACGTGAAGCTATGAATTCACGATGGAGCAATAGTAAGTAACAGTGTTTTCTCCGTTTTATCATGAGTTCAAAGATACCGATGATTAGTCCATAGTCTGTAGGTGTGGCGCCTTTCATTTCTGCCTATTACAAAGAAAGAAATTTTGAATTAATTAATTAATGAAAGAATTAAGAATCAAGTAAATAGCCTAGTGACCAAAGGGTTAATATAATAATGAATATTAATCAATCTTATTATTTCACTATTGTTCAAAAATGAAATATTGAACAGGAAATGACTTTTGTTTCTCGTGAAGCTAGGTGAGCACGAGAATATTATCTTTTTTTTTAAATTATTTTACCAACTTCTTTTCAACGTTTCGGAAACGTTTACCATCTACCAACCAACACCAGCAGATCGTACTTACAACCAATAAGTTATAACCAATCAAGTTTGTTTCCCAGGACTCAGTTATATAACTACCAAAATTGAAGGATAATTTAAAAGCATATTGTTTAATTTTGAAGCGAAGACGATATACTGTATAAGATGGCGAATGTAAAGAAACAAGTCAGAGAGGGAGGGGGGATTTTGAGGTACCGTTAAATACTTCATAACTAGCAGCCATCATGAGCCCCCAAATACTAGTCAAATCACCGAAAAAAATGAAACCAAAACCAAAATTAATTAAAAACATCTGATATATAAAGAGTATTTCGATTTATATAAGAGAAATTATTTTCAATATTTAATTTTTTTTTCGTCGTTGGTTGCAAAAGTTAAAGAATTTGATGACGTCATTCTGGATAAATTATTACTTGTTTTATAACGTTAAAAACCGGATATCGACACACGAGTGCAGCATCTCTACCCAATTGTATAGCTTTGTGCAAAAACAAATACATCTTGTTTATTGTTAAACCTACTGAACTGCTTAAAACCTTGCTTAACGTTCGTTGGTTAAACCCACTGAACTGCTTAAAACCTTCCTTAACGTTCGTTGCTTGTGCTTACGCTTTGATAGACTATTAGATAGCAGTTATTGGTTTTTCGAATGTTGATGGCGCGTGATCTCTCGAGTTTATGAAATTTTCTCTGTTTTGTTTGTTTGTTTGTTTTTGGAATTTCGCGCAAAGCTACACGAGGGCTATCTGCGCTAGCCGTCCCTAATTTAGCAGTGTAAGACTAGAGGGAAGGCAGCTAGTCATCACCACCCACCGCCAACTCGAGCGCTCTAACCACCTGGCCATGCCGGGCCTTCTCTGTTTTACAGTTATCAAATGTATTTTATCTGGTTATATTAATTAAAAAAGCTGAAGTAACAAACTACTATTATGTTGTTCATTAAATAGAATACACCCACTGGTATTACATATTACATACACTGTCGTAGTTTTGTTCTTTTTATAAAAGGTTCATAAGTTTTTGCGCGAAAAGGAAATGGTGTCCATTAAAATGTACTTGACACACACACACACACAAAGAAAAAAATGCATTTAGAATAAATGTTAACTAAGATAATGGTAATTTCACGATCCGAAGAACTTTCCAAAATATTCATCAAAGTAGAGGTGGAACAAGTAGAGAAGTTAGAACGAAAGAAGCTTATTCCACTGTTGATTTCCGTTTTTGTTTCCCGCTACCTTCTGGCTCGCTATTTTGTTATTTTCAGATGAACTGATTTCCTTACAAGAATTAGACCCACTAACAACAGTAGATTCGATCAATAAGTAAGGACAATAATCAGAGCTTCGTAAGTTGACTGAGGTTTAAGTTGAATGAGAAATAAACAGATTGTACACAATTGAAGGACAGTGAAAACAGTCTTTATTTAGACACGTACATGAATAGACAAGTGGACGATCGCCTCTACTGGATAAATGAATAGCTCTTCAGCTTTCCGTCTCTCAAGATGAATCTCTACTGAAGCAGTCACGGTGAAAAACAAATAAAATTGGACTAGGAAAGCATACTTGAACTCGATAGGTAAACTCGGTTTCTTTGTTCAGTCGCGATCGACAGCATCACTTCAAGATCTCTATTCTCTGACAACATTGGTCAGCTGTAACATTAAGACAACATCAATTCGGCCAGTAAGGGATATTAGAACCACTAATCCTTTCAACTCGAATGCTATGTGTTACTGGAATATCCTCTCAAGCAGAATTAATATTACCTACTATGGAGAACAAAGAAACAAAACAACTAGAACAAGGCAATCTCTACGATTTCTGGACCACTTGTTTATTTTAAAACTGCACACAAACTAAATACACGAAAATTCTAAAAATTCCTATATCACTCACTATTACATCAGATAGAAAACATATTATGTGCCAGGATATCTCAATATTACTTCTAGTTCTTGTTTTGTTGTTTTTTGGCAGAATTATTATCTGGTTTTATTAATTAAATAACATGTAGATTTCAACCCGAGTTCGAAACAGTACTTGTGGTCATGAAGACCATGTTGTTGTTTAAAAGTATAAAATCTTTTCATCTTCCGTCCGGCTTTTAGTTAATTTTCATGTTATTTCTATCTCTACAACCAAAACTAAACCTTCACTTCTTTATATATGTAACAAAGGTAGGCCTAATTATAATGATGCTGCAGGAACAGGCGGGAATATATAAATGATGCTTAACGTTCGGTAACTTTATAGAAGACCTTGTTTGTAGTTAAGCACAAAGCTACACAAGGGCTATCTGTGCTCTGCCACCACGGGCATCGAAACCCGAATTCTAGCGTTGTAAGTCCGCAGACATACCGCTGTGCTACTGGGGGGCATGATTAGACCCGCAAGGATTCGCAGTTCATTTGTTGTATTTTTGTCGTCGTTAACGCTAGGCCTATTATTATATAGTTTGTAGACGCATAACGCTATGCCACTGAGTTTTTATCGGCCTTACATACTGTAAACCTCTTCCATATGGGTGTAAAATTAAATAGTACGCTACATTTAATTTCAAATTTTAACCGACCTCGTAGCGAGTTACGGCCATAGATATAAATAACACTAGATTGTAAGTCACGTGACTTTCGGCATGCACAAGCGGCCGCCATTGCGATGTGTTGAACTTTCAAAACTCACCAATAGAACTGTCAATGGCAAGGCGATCTCGCCTCACAACTTATGGCCGATTTTCCATCTAAACTAGACGTTTGGATAATTGTGTTATTTGATTTTAATAAGTTTGTCAAGCCAAGAGGATCTAAACCTGATTTCAACTTAGAAATTAGTACAAAAATCGTTCACAAAATAATTAAGAAAAATTATATATACATGGACACACAACAGGATGTCCGAAAGAAGTAACACAAATCATTACACCTACTTCGTCAATGATGCATAACATAAACTGTACTAAATCTAAAGACAATAAATTTAGCAATGTTACTCTTTTAAAGACCCCCTTTTCCTCTTTTTTTACCGAGTTATGACAAATGGTCATGTTCTCCTCCCCTCCCTTAACTTTGCTACATCCTCCAACTTTTATTCCAACTTTTCTCAAGTACATAAACAGTCTCTTATTGTAAAGAAAAAATAAAGAATTCCTCATGATTCTGTAAATTTATGATCTTGGTGAAACCCAGTTTAAAATATTTCACTAATATTATTATTCTGTAAACAGAACAAGATTTTTTGGATGAAATGCTAATTTTCTCTGATTAGAACTGTGGCTCTCAAAACTGGTTGGCCAGCAGGCAACATTATAGTGTCGTGGATGATTATTTCAACTTATATGAGTACGTAATATTGTCAGCATTTCAAATCAAAAGCTGTCAAACTGTCATACCGACTTGTGTAGGTGATAAAATGCTTCTTGAAAGAAAGACTCGCATATATACTTTGAAACTAGATGTAAATAACCACGCCAGTTCGACGCCGCCACCATGTCCATGACGATGTTGCCCTCTGTAACTTAATTTGTTATAGAAAAAAAATGTTTTATTTACTTGTGGAATGTAACACCCTCCGCTTTCGACTCTTGGTTATGGTATGTGTAACAGTTAATGGCATAGCACTGTGTTCCCTTCGTTCTTTCGGGTCGTGACTTAGACGGACGACTATCACTCTCAGCCATTTTACATTGTCTGCCAATTCGAACTTCAACACATAGCAATGGCAGCAGTATACACACATGATAAAAGTATTGACTGGCCAATCTAGTGTTTTTTATATCTATGGTTACGGCCATTGTGCGCTATTTCACAAACATTAGGTTTAACTAATATAAACTCTCCATGTACCTAGTCTATACAGTGTTCAACTTTTCATTTCCTTACGCCTTTGTTTTCAATTGGATACTGTAACTTTCATGAAATTCTTACAGGCGCCATTTTTTACAGACGGTTTTTATTAACCCTTTCATTACATTGTTATCATATTATTTTGGTAGTTGAAAATAATTGAAAAAGCTAGTAACGCCTTGATCGGACACATAATTTCATTACTTGGTTATGGTATTATTTTTGTTGTAAAAATAGATAATATTAATAATAATAAAAACGTCACACTTGTTTATACCCGAGAAAACGTTCATTAACAATTATGTCCTGAATTGTAGTGTCGTAATGGGATTGGATTAGTTAACTGAAGACAACATTAATAATGACAGAATACGGTTTGGAAAGCAGACAAACATTCGAGGAGGAAACATTTTACGACAGTAATGATTATTTTCATACCGAGAATGCTGTCTGTGATGATTACCTGTACAACAGATCGAGGGCTATAGTAACTCCCTTTCCTCGGGAAGGAGTTAATCTTAAACCCAGTCGCAAGCAGTGGAACAAGTGGTTTATTTTATTTGCGTTGTGTTATTCAGAGTTCTGGGTTGGAGCTTGTATGTCACTACCAGCCCCATTCTTCCCTAGAATCGTAAGTATAAGTCTTTACTTATTCACAGATATTTAAAATAAAATTATTGAGGAAAATGATTAGTATATAAGATTGCTGGATTCTACAATAGATGGCGCCTATCCTAATAATAATTTGATCTCTTATGGCCTGTTGGCTAGGTGTTTAGGACGCTCGACTCGCAATCTGCGGGTCGATGGTTCGAATCCCCGTCCAAACATGCTCGCTTTTTCACCCGTGGAGGCTATATTATGTGACAGTGAATCCCACTATTCGTTGGTAAGAGAGTAGCCCGATGGGTAAGGAGGACTAGCTGCCTTCCCTCTAGTCTTTCACTGCTAAATTAAGGACGTTTGGCTTTACGCAAAATTCATAACAAGCAAACAGTCCTCGGTGGATCAACGGAACGTGGTAGACAGAGCTCAGACTAAACGTGGTAGACAGATCTCAGAGAGCTTATTTTGTGTTAACCACAAAGCACAATCTAATCATCGAAACAAACGACGTTAATGAGTATAATAAAGTACCTATTGGTAAAACACAACGTGTTGACCAGTTTTAACGTTAGGATTGTGTTAGGTTTTAAAAGAAACAAAAGGCTTAACGTATATTACAAAGATTTATTGTTATTTGTGGAAAAATTTTAAACTAAATTTTACTATAATACCTAGACATTTTATACGTGATTTATTTAACAATTGGAATTTTCAGCCCTTGTGTGAGAGGACGATATGCGAAACTACTTTGAGACTAATAATGGCAGAAGACGGCTTGAATGGGTAATGAAGAAAAACTTTAATATAACAGCAAATGTACAACGTTTCGACAATGTTTTGTCATCATTAGATTTGGGATGTGTTTAAACATTGTTTTTAGTGCATAATATAGCGATTTTCTGCTGCCTTTATTGAAACAAAATAATGGGTTTCTTTCGTAATATAAAATACAAGCTGAGGTACTCGTCCCTTGTTCGGGTTATGAACTTAAAATAAATGGGGGATGCTATGAGAAATAACATAAAAAATCCTAACTTTCACACACTTATTTTAACACTGTGTATATGTTGTGTTATAGAAAATTTTATAATTTTTTGGTTTGGTGTAAGTACGTGGCGCCATCTGTGAATATAGTTAATGTTAACTTACGTGAAAGATAATAAATGCTCAATAATAGCAATAATGGGGGTGGAGGGAGCTGTAAACCCACCAATAACATGTCCCTTGTTCCAAACTATCATCCCTCAAAGTTTGGTGGAGGTTGGATCAGCGACCTAGGAGTAGTTAGATAACGGACAGACAGACACATATCTTTGTGCTTTATATATAGAGATAAATTTTCCTCACCAGCAAAATCACAGAAGTCCCTCTCGTGAGTCAGCTGCAAGTTTACCGACTCGTAACACTAAAAATATATCTAAGAGCGTTATTTGAGTTCTGATTAAATATATTATTGAAAGCATTGTAATTATAAAAAAAAAACAATCTTCAGTACCTAATATTTAGCTTAACTCCTCGAAAGTTTTTAAATGTGTATAGTTGGTAAAAGAAGCATTTAATTAAGATCAGTGTAAGAATGAATAAGGTAAGATGTGTAGGAAATGATCCCCATGTTCTTGTTGGTGTTTGGACCTAGTGTAAATTATTACTCTAGTCACGTAGCGCATTTTATATAACACCCAAAATGTTATACTATTTCTATAACACTTCGACTGCCTTGAATAAAAATAATATATATCAAGAACATTTTTTGATTAAAATTTAAACTTTAAGGTTAATTAAGATAACGGTATCTGTGAATTATTGTGGTATACAACGCTTAACGACAAAGCGTGCACTAAAGATGGCGTTTTCTGAAACATTTGATCTTAGTTAGACTGATAACACTTTTTAATGTTTTTTTTTACTTACATGACGTCGTTTTTCAGTAAACGGAACATAAAAGCGTGTTAATATGACGTAATTTTACATAAAATACCGATTAATAGATCATGATTCGGCGGCATAAGACACTGATTAACAGTAACTGATATCTTATGATTTATATAAACAAAGTGGGATTATGTTCATCTTACTGGAACCCCGTATAGGACTAGTAAAAAAAAGATATGTTTTAGATAATTATCAGTCTCGTTTTCATGTAATGTCGCACAAACAACCGATCTGTAGCTTACGCTACGCCGGCATATGGTGTTATAAACCATAATAATTGATAGAACTTTACAATACTATACAGTGTTTCCTTTTATAACGATATCTATGTAATGACTGAGTCACAAGTTCTGGGAATGTCTGTAAATATCATAGTAAAAAAAATTGAATTTCTTGTTCTTCTTTTTTTCCGCTTCTTTTTTTATTACATGATAACTAAAAAAACCAAAACTATGTTGTCAACCAGTTTCACTGAGGTTAACTAGCTTCAAACGCTTTTATAAGTATTA